CGAAGGAGTGGCTCCGTAAGAAGCATTTGAAAGTCCTAGAGTGGCCTAGCCAGTCTCCAGACCTCAACCCCATTGAAAATCTGTGGAGGGAGTTGAAAGTCCGTGTTCACTGCTCTCGAGAAGATCTGCAAGGAGGAATGGGCCAAAATATCAGCTACTGTGTGTGCAAACCTGGTAAAGACCTATAGTTATTGCTGTTATTGCCAACAAAGGTTATATTACAAAGTATTGAGTTGAATTTTTGTTATTGACCAAATAATTATTTTCCACCATAATTTACAAATACATTCTTTAAAAATCCTACAATGTGAATTCCTGGATTTTTTTTTTTCACATTCTGTCACAGCTGAAGTGTACCTATGATGAAAATTACACACCTCTGTCGTTATTTAAAGTGGGAGAACTTGCACAATTCATGGCTGACTAAATACTTTTTTGCCCCACTGTATAAGTAAGTAAGTAAGTAAGCTTTTATTTATATACCGCCTTTCACAGACCAGAGCCACAAAGCAGTTTACAATTGTTATTTTGTTTTTGTTTTTTGGGCACTTGTCCTCTCACTCCACACAGAGATGGGAGCGGGGTCGCCGAACAGGAGGCGCATGCCAGACCTATTGTACATATTTTTAGTGGTAGGGGAAACCGGAGTACCCGGAGGAAACCTACGCAGACACGGGGAGAACATGCAAACTCCACTCAGAAAGGCCCTGGTCCGGCCGGGATTCGAACCCAGGACCTTCTTGCTGAGAGGCGAGAGTGCTATCCACTCAGCCACCGTGCCGCCCACTGAGTAGGTAGTAAAACTTATGTTTCCTACCCCTTATTACATGTCCTTTCTTTTTACAGGAGTTATAATTATTTAGATTTACAGCCAGAACTTACATAAACATTAGATATTTATCTTAAATAATTGACACTTCATTAATATTCATAGTCATAGCAGCAGCTGTAGTAGTAGTAGCTGTAGTAGTAGTAGTAGTAGGGTGATTGTAGTGGCTGCAGTGTAGGGGCAGGAGCAGCAGTAGTAGAAGTAGCAGCAGTAATAGCAGCAGTTGTGATTTGATTTGTTCGCAACATTTTACTTTTACAATACTCAACAGAAGTACAAAAAAATGTAAGAAAATGTGGATACCCCAGTTTTAAAGTCAGAGCAGAGACCTGAGCAAAGGAGTGATGATAAGGGACTCCAGAACTGTTAATTTATGGCCACAACCAACTAAAAAGCCCTGTTTCCACCTGCCCAGCCTGACTCTGGCTCTATTCTATCTGGTTGTCTTTCCAGTACGCTTCAGTATCTGGTAATGTATCCTAGCAACCTGCCCACAACAAACCATTATCCGGAGAAATTCCTTGGTAACCATGGCTTCTAGCAATCTCTGTCTGTTAGAACACTTCAGTACCAGCTCGGCCTGGATAGAACCAGGTCCAAGCAGGTACTAATAAAGTACCTGGTACTGGTTAACACAGTTCCTCAACTATTTGGCGGATTTTTCAGTTACTATATATATTTTCATTATTATTATTATTATTTATTTATAGCTCATGACCATATACTGTATATATTGAGGACAAGTTACAGAACAAAACAAAACAGCAAAAGGAAGAACCTTTTTCAAACATTCACCAAATGATTCTGAGGCTTCCATATAGCATAAGTGCGAACATTTTTTGCATTAATGGATATTTGACTTACTGTAATACTGTGGGAGACAAAGTAGGGCCAAGTAGGGCTTTGTAACCAGGGCAAAAGAGAGGGGTGGACATGTGTGTTCAATGATCCTCGGCAGGCAAGAAGACTTTTCATGCTCGTCACGTCGGCAAATCAGTTTTCATTATTATTATTTTTCTCTTTGGGCGTGATGTGATTTTGAGCCATCGGTCAGCGCTCTCCGTCCTGATCCCGCAATCTCCTAATTCTTCGTGCGTGGCCTGTGATTATTGTCGTCATGGAGACACATCTATTTCAGCTCTGTTCACGATTCTCCTTTCGTGCGAGGTGCCTGAAGAGCAGCGCGTGAGATCAACAGTGCATTTAACCTGAGAAAAGAAGAGCGTTTATATCATTTGTACGTCTGTAGAGCTGCTCCAGTGGATCCAGTCCTGTTTCTGCTTCTAATTAGTGCAAATGTAACTTTGACCTGGCAGATGTGTGGGCGTCGTCTGTTGTTGTCATTTGTTCTGCGTTTACCTATCCATGTCTATTTAAAGACCATGTATAGCTTTTACCAGAAACAACATTTGTGAAACAACTTAATTCAGCTTTTAAACCTGTAAAGCAGTGTTCTACAGTCCTGGATTTAAAATCTGTCCGTTCGCAGGAATGTCAAACTAGTTTTGTTCAAGGGCCAAGTTTAAAAACATTAGAGCTGGTTGTTGAGAGATGGTAAAAGTATCCCATTACCATCAATGCTGCAAGTTGTTGTAAGAGTGATTTATTAAAAATAATTTCGGGGGCTACTGTGACAAAAATGGCCACTTAAAATGGTGTTGTGGGCCGGATTTGGTCCTGTCTGGCTGAAGGACAATAGTTATCCGGGATATTTATGGACATTTATGGATTATTTATGACATTATTTGTAATTTAAGACATTATGGCCATCCCGCTCCCTAACGGCAGATTAAATGGCAAAGTAATGGATCTCATTGTATTTCTTAATGGTTAGTAATGTACTTACTTACTTTTTAATGGTCAAAAATAATAGTTCATTTATTGATTCCACTCATTTTTGAAAGAAAAGTCAAATTGTTTTCCCAGATCATTTGATTATATTCACAAAGCATGTATGAGAAGACCATAATTGATAGATATACCAGAGAGAGACCAGAGAGAGACCCGAGAAAGACCAGAGAGGGACCAGAGAGGGACCAGAGAGAGACCCGAGAAAGACCAGAGAGGGACCAGAGAGAGACCAGAGAGAGACCAGAGAGACACCAGAGAGAGACCAGAGAGAGACCAGAGAGACACCAGAGAGACCAGAGAGACACCAGAGAGAGACCAGAGAGAGACCAGAGAGAGACCAGAGAGAGACCAGAGAGACACCAGAGAGACCAGAGAGACACCAGAGAGACCAGAGAGACCAGAGACCAGAGAGGGACCCGAGAGAGACCCGAGAAAGACCAGAGAGGGACCAGAGAGAGACCAGAGAGAGACCAGAGAGAGACCAGAGAGAGACCAGAGAGAGACCAGAGAGACACCAGAGAGACCAGAGAGACACCAGAGAGAGACCAGAGAGAGACCAGAGAGAGACCAGAGAGACACCAGAGAGACCAGAGAGACACCAGAGAGACCAGAGAGGGACCAGAGAGAGACCAGAGAGAGACCAGAGAGAGACCAGAGAGAGACCAGAGAGAGACCAGAGAGAGACCAGAGAGAGACCAGAGAGAGACCAGAGAGAGACCAGAGAGAGACCAGAGAGAGACCAGAGAGAGACCAGAGAGACCAGAGAGAGACCAGAGAGAGACCAGAGAGGGACCAGAGAGAGACCAGAGAGAGACCGGAGAGAGACCGGAGAGAGACCAGAAAGACAGATCGGAGACCAGAGAGGGAGACCGGAGACTAGTGAGAGACCAGAGAGAGCCCTTTTAGACATGAGAAAATAGTAAGACTTTATAAGTGCTGATAAGACGTGGAACTTTGTCACAGATTTAGTTTCACTTGGATTGCCCCGGGGATTACAGATAAATTAACTCTAAACTAAGACTAAAATCTGATATTGGACCAGTTCTCTTAGTTAATGTTGCAAAGTCCCACGAATGCAGCGTAACTGCCTAAAAAGCAAGAAAATAAATGTTGCTTAACATGAAGCCAGTCCAAAGCCCATTGAACATGCCAAAGGATTATTGAAGTGAAAGAAAATAGTAATAAATGTAAATGTTTGCAGTATTTGGTAATCTCTTCACAACTAAAGGATGGACCCCAGTCTCCACGGGTAACGAGTTCATTACCATGAATGAGATAATGAATATGTATTGTGGTGTAATCTGACATTCCAATGCATTGTCCTGTACAGAAACTGACCAATGCAGTGTTTCATTTCCTCTGGCGCTCAGACTGCAGGGACCGTGTTTTAAATTCACCTTTTGTTGTGGAGAATGATTCATGCGTTTTGACCCGATGCGATTCCCACTCGGAGCAGATGTTGTGTGGGACGAATGTAGATTCACTGTTTACATGAGGCCATCGCAACAACAGCCAAATCCAGGAGCTGGGACCGGATTCAGATCTCAGCCTTTGTTACGAAGCTCAGGAGTGAAGAGAAGTTGACAGCTTTTATTTATGGCAGTGTAATGACTCTTGGAGCTTACGTACATTTTTGCTATTCCTAATTTTGTAATATTTTGTATGAAATAACCATTTATTTTGAAATGTGAGAAGTTACCACCCACCTCATCTTGGCTTGTGCACTAAATTGGGGCTTGCCCAAATGGGTTTGCATTTTTAAAAATAAATCTTAAACATCACATGCTTGTGTAGGGCGTCATTTTAAAGCTAAAACCTTCTAGTTTACATAGATATGCACTAGATTAATGAATGTCATTCCTATTTCACTCTTTACCCTTTGAGATTTTTTGGAAAAAACTGTTTAGCCTTTTTTTCGTGTGTGCCTTTTTCTAGGTTTCATAGTTTTTTCATAAACTAGTGACATTCAGAACGTATTTGGCACACTTCGTGCCAGTATGTGCCAAACTGTTTGACTCAAATTTTAGGTCATCCATCACCATAAAATACAAATGTGACAAGCTACCTTCCTGTATGATTTCTTTACAAGTTTATATTTTGATTAGTGTAACTACATCCAACAGTATATGCTGTTCAGTACTATCAAAGTAAAGCGCATTACAACTCATTTCTCTCACCCAGAGGACGTCACGGGTCAAATGCATGAGCACATTTCTCTGTGGAACCATTAAAGGGTATGCTTCTTTTTTGCACTGGCTGTTTGATAAGCTACATAGTGTGAAAGCCAAGATAAGTGTGATGTTCAGTGGGCTGAGACAGAATGGGAGAGGGAGGAGGAGGTGAGGGGGCCATGGCTTCAACATAGTTTCATAAATAAAGAACTCCTATAAGAGCTGCGTAACAATGGTCTACTTTGGTTGCTCCACAAAAAAAAAAACACATGGTAATATTTCAATTATGGGATTATTGATTGACAAGAGCTTTTCCACCTGATTAAAACAGTTGTAAATTGATGCTCAAGGCCAAAGATATGTGCAATGTGAGCATACGGCTAGTTGCTTTGTTTGTTTGTTGTTTGGAGATCAGGTTTTCAGATCTCGTGTTCCACCACCTGCTTGTATGAAGCTGTTTTATTATATAGAATATCAACTATGGGATTGTGGAAAAGCAACCCAAGGAGTTTTTTTAAGGCAAGGAAGTAGAACGAGCAAGTCAATCATCCAACCTAAATCTGATTACGCAGAATTTCACTCACGGAAGTCAGAACACATGGAACGTGTTGCAAAAAGACTGAAAATTATCTGAATTTATTTCATTGAATGCTTTTAGATCCAGATTGAGAGCACTTGAGACATCCTCTGTCACGGGGTTGGATGATGGAGGACTCAAATGCAGGAATGCAAAAAATAATGATTTAATAAAATAAAAATCCAAGTGAAAACTAAACTCAAAATCCAATAATACAGAAGCAGGAACAAAAACAGAACTTGACATGACAAAACAGGACATTGACATAACAATGGACCAGCAACATGTAGAGAGGGGCACAGGGTAATTATAGACAGGGACACAGGTGAAACACATCAGGGCGGGGCAGACAATCAAGACAGGGGAAACAGCACATAAGTCAAACTCAAAACCAAACCACAGAGAAATAATGTCAAAATAAAACCAAAGTACAAAAATAAAAGCCACACCATGACATCCTCATTGAAATGTAGCTGTTTTTATAATCTGTAATGTATGTAATTGTATGTAGTTTTTTTTTCCAGGACTCCCTTGAAAAAGAGGTTCTTAATCTCAATAGGAATTTCCTGGTTAAATAAAGTTAATTCATTCATTCATTATCATCCCTTTATTATTACGTTTCTGGGTCAGGGGAGAGGCAGTCAGAGTTGCCACCCAATTCACATTGCACCAGTCCATTAAATAAAGTTCAAATAATAAAAAGGGGAAAGTAGTTAAAGTGGTTCTCACCCCCGCTCCTCGGAGCTTACGTCACTCACATTTCCTGTTCAAATCTTCCTCTAAATGGGCGTAGCCTGGAGGACTAAAGGGGGCGTGAACGAGACTGGGCCGTTTACATTGCTCTGGGCGGGGGGCTGCTGACGTCAGGTCTTGCTTCAGACGTCAGGTCTTGCTGCCGCGCCAGTGTTGGCGCCAGATTCAAAATTCAAATGTAGTAATACAGGTCGCCAGCAGATGGCGCCTCACAGACGGTTTTAGGCAGAAAGTGTAACTTTCAACTAATTTGCACCAAAGTGACCAAATTATGACCAGGATATGTGGACAACACTATTGGACACTCATTTATACAGTTTATCAGCAAAAAAAAGTAGATTTGAGGGTGAGTTGTCCTTTAAGAACAAGGAGGTAGTAGAGACCATTGCCTTTGTTTGTTTAGCCTGCATAGACCGTGTCTGTCGTTAAATGTCGAGTGTCCTGGATCATCAACACTGTCCTTAGACCCTCCTGCATCGGCAAGGAAACACTCTGATAACCCAGTGGGAGAAAATTAAATTGGTATGTGGATTTTTACCAAGTAATTCTTTCACCTTTCGAATCTTGTGAGTATTTCCCCAAGAGTACAATGAGTGTAGAGAGTAGACAGGTTTGTTGTGAAGATTTATCTCCAAAAACTCATGCAATTCTTCAGTAATCCACTGGAGGGCGGAACCAATGTGTACATCTATACCCTCAAGTTAAAGCCGACACTAAATGGTTGCAACACATCTAATTTATTTTGCTCAAAATCCACCCCGGCGACGTACACGTTTGAGAATTGTGTTGATACAAGCGCCTGTTTAAGTCTATGGTTTAAAGTAGTACCGGGGCTTGCAGCACCAATCTCCACCAGTTCCATCTGGTTCTTCTAACACCACTTTTAATCAGTTGTGGTGTGTGTGTGGTGGACCACTGGATATTTCTCACTTTCTGCGCTGTGGTTTCTGCTGAAGACATTTGAAGCCGCACTCGTGAGACCACTTGTTCTCCTGCTAATTAACTACATGTGTTGGGAAAAAGGCTTGTGGTGATCTCACATCCAGTTATAGCAAACTCCCAATGGACAGACTGGGGGAGCACCAACTCGCAAGGATTTTGAATTCATCCGAGCACCGCACCAGAGCCTCACCCCGAAAAAAACAAAGTGGCAATCTGGGGGAAAATATAGGAATGATTGATACTGATCATTCCAGCGCCTTTAACCAGATCATAAACCAACTCAACTGTTTTAAAGCTTTGCCCTGCCTGGGGTTATGTTATGTATTAAACTGACTCATGTGAAAACGCCTTTGCTGTGGTTCTGGGTTTTGGTCTGGATTTTTTTTTTTTTAATGTTTTGTTCTGGGTCTTGTTCCGGGTCTTGGTCTGGGTCTCAACTTCAATCTCGACCTTGGTCTTTTTTGCTAAGCCGTGTGGAGTGGAGCCCATGTGGAAATGCCTTTGGTCTTGGTCTTGGTCGGGGTCTGGGTCTGGGTCTGGGTCTGGGTCTGGGTCTGGGTCTGGGTCTGGGTCTGGGTCTGGGTCTGGGTCTGGGTCTTGGTCTGGGTCTCGGTCTAGCTCTTGTTCTGATATTAGCGCGGAGTGAGCAAATATATCTGCAAGTGATTTTTCAGAATATGTCCTTGAACTTTGTGTGGAATTGTCAAAGGGAAGCAGTTCAGTAATATCAAAGAAAAACAACTCATTTCTCTCGCCTCGAGGAGGTCATGGGTCAAATGTATGAGCACATTTCTCTCTGGAGCCAATAAAGGGTATGCTTCGTTTATGTTCTCTTTTTTGCACTGGCCTCTCTCCTCTTCCTCTGCAGTACCCTCTCTCCTCTTCCTCTCCACTGTCCTCTCTCCTTTGGCCTCTCTCCTCTTCCTCTACACTACCCTCTCCTCTTCCTCTCCACTGTCCTCTCTCCTCTTCCTCTCCACTACCCTCTCCTCTTCCTCTCCACGGCTCTCTCTTCTCTTCCTCTCTCCTCTTCCTCTCCACTACCCTCTCCTCTTCCTCTCCACTGTCCTCTCTCCTCTTCCTCTCCACGGCTCTCTCTTCTCTTCCTCTCTCCTCTTCCTCTCCACTGGCCTCACTCCTATTCCTCTCCACTATCCTCTCTCCTCTTCCTCAAACACTATCCTCTCTCCTCTTCCTCTCCACTGTCCTCTCTCCTCTTCCTCTCCTCTGTCCTCTCTCCTCTTCCTCTCCACTGCCTTCTCTCCTCCTCCTCTCCACTACCCTCTCTACTCTTCCTCTCCACTGCTCTCTCTCCTCTTCCTCTCCACTGCCCTGTCTCCTCTTCCTCTCCACTGCCCTCTCTCCTCTTCCTCTCCTTTGGCCTCTCTCCTCTTCCTCTCCACTACCCTCTTTCCTCTTCCTCTCCACTGGCCTCTCTCCTCTTCCTCTCCTTTGGCCTCTCTCCTCTTCCTCTCCACTACCCTCTTTCCTCTTCCTCTCCACTGGCCTCTCTCCTCAGTCGGGGACAAACCGTGCATGTAATCGGCCCCTGTCCTCGGGGTCCTCGCAGATGTTTCACCTGCCGTCCGTGTCACTGCCTGTGGAGCCGTGTGAAGTTTGACCCTGGCCGGCATCTGTAGTTCCACAGGGCCATGTCCAGCTGCATCACGCACACGCTGAGTCAGGTCTAACGCTCCAGTCCACACCGCTCTGAAGTATTTTAACCATGCTATTTTGCTCCATCCATGCTGATATAACTTCTAGGTCTGGACAATATGAGGGAAAAAAAAAAAATCTGTACATATTTTTCTATAACTTTATTTAAATATATTGTATTGATATATAAAAAAATATATATTCTTGATATTTTTACCGGATAAATTACCCTCCAAAAATTACAGCAAAAACAAACTTGACAATATCCAAAGTATTTTTTTCTGGACCTCAAAAAGTAGTCAGGAATACAAACGTGACAGAATCACTTTGTTCCTACTTTAATTGTTTATTGTTTTTGAAATTTAACTGTAAAATAAATTAAGAAAGGAAACTCAACTCAAGGCAGTGCATACAGAAACAAAGTACATTTAAGTAAAAAAATAAAATCCTGTTTACATTAATGGTAAATAACCTGTTTCAAATCAGTGACAAACGGCACTTTCTCTCTGTCGTGTTCAATTGCGGGAATTCTTGTATCGCAAAGTAATGTCTTGACTTGTACCTTGATCTGTACCTGTGTTTGTTTGCTGGTATAAAGCCACCTCTGTATGAAATGCCACGGACTCTCATGCTACATCCGCGCTTCTGTCATATCCTACACTTTGCGTTTTATGGAGGCGTGACGTCATTTCCTGTTAACAAAGCACAGCCCGTCCACTTCCTGCCTATGCTATCCTATGGCATTTAGGTGAGTTTTAGTGACGTTTTTTAGTAATTAGATTGATACATTCAGCTGTGAGACTGACCCAAAAGTGTCACTGTGCTTTCTCTCTGAGGTAGAGCTTTGACTGTGGCCACTCAGAACGATTTTTAAACTTTATAAAACCACAATGACACCACAATCAAAGAGCACTGCTGTGTCCCAAAAATGCCCAGTATCCTCACAGTTTAATTCCCGTTTGAGCATTATTTGGGAAACTCGTGTAAACCACTGCTGAACTCCAGTGAAACTCAAGCCGTTTCCCGCGAACAGGAAGTGAAGTGGGGCTTTAGCTAAAACGCGGAAGTGGTGCGTGCATAGAGCCCATAGTGATATAATGCCCATCTCTACTTCCGGCACACAAAAAAACCTGTGTATGTGTCTCCCTTTGTGTGCATCTCTGTATGTGTGCGTGTGTGTGCGCTTGCGTGTCTATCTGCGTGTGTGTCTCTCTCTCTCTGTGAGTGTGTGTGTGTGTGTGTGTGTGTGTGTGTCTTTGAGTGTGTTTCTGATAATAGCTAAAAGCAAATCCAGGTCAGATGAGGAACAATGTTGTAACATGATTAAAAGATAAGAATAAGCCTAACAAGTCTCCTTTAAGGACTGGTGATAACCCATCATTACCCTTACCTCCTCTGCCGCACTATACACATTTAAATAACATTATTAAAAGTGATTGAGTCTGTGACAGAGGCTGAGGGCACCAGGGGCCGGATCCATATTTAATTAACTCTTGACTTAAATACTGTTATAGTTTGAAATTAACAACGTCAGGCTCGGCCGCTGGAGGAAGATTTAAAACAAGGGACTTTTACGATAGTGTTACGACGTCAAAGAATCTACACTTTACTGTATGTATCGAGAACATTTCATACACAAACGGTTCCCAAAGTGCAGTGGAAACTATAAGGATGAAAAAGAAACAGTCATGCTATATCGAGTCCAAATATATCAACAAGAGATATGAAATGAATAAGGAGGATAACAATAATAATACTTTGTACTTATGAGCTTTTATTGGATACTTAAGAGAGCAGTGTGTCAAAATCTGGCCAAAAGTGTTAATGAAGCCTCTCCCACTCTCCCTGGTTGTGGGATATGCAGAAGAATCCAGTTGGTACCATAAAATCTGTATATTCAAGAGTTTTGTCAACAACAAATCTATATCCAACACCTTTTTCACAAAAGTCCCTGATTTTATTTTAGTTTTTTCATTAATAATTTGAGAATCATAACAAGACCCTTTTTTAGTACTGGTGTATGGTGTATGGCGACAGTAGCTCAGTTGGTAGAGCCTTTGAGCCTAAAAGTCGTTGGTTCGAGCCCACCGCAAGACTTTGCACCGGCTCCCACTGATGTCTACTGTCGTTGTGTCCTTGGCAAGACACTTAACCTCTGGAAACACCATGTGCCACAGTGGGGCGGCTGCGGCTGTAAAGTGCCAAACTGCCGTTGTGTCCTTAAGCAAGACACTTCACCCACATTGCCTAAAATGAGTCTGCTGTGTGTGAATGGTTGGTGGTCAGAGGGGCCGATGGCACATGCTTGTTGAGTGAATGAAGCGTCTTTGAGTGTCCAAAAAGTGCTTTATAAATCTGATGCATTATTATTATTATTATCACTGCGACCACATGTTACTTTACCAGTGAGATTAGCTCGATGCTGTGAGATCTGGCAACCCGGATCACAGACAGGTCGGGACATCAAAATGAAAACATGTGCTGTAAATCTAAATTTGAAATTCAAATATCTTGACTGAACTACATTTATCAGTTAAAGAGGTATTTGGAAAGTGCAAAAGACAGATTTTGACAGATTAGGGCCATTTAATGATGACTTGACAGATAAATCTTACATATTGCTACCGAGGGACAGGTCAAAAAAAAAAAATAAACACAAAAAAAGCAGTTCAGTGTAGGCACAAAACTGGAGTATAATAAATACTAATCAAAATCTTGAGCCTGCTTCTAAAATCCAAAGACGTTCTCTGGGGCCCTGAGCTCTTCCAACAGCTGTTCCAGAGCCAGGGGTCGCGGTTCTGGAAATAATGCCGTTATTAAATGATCTGATGATGTAGGAGCTGGATAAACGTATTTAAATGAAAGAGTTTAATCATTCGCAGTTGGATGTGGAGCTGATTGCTTTTCATTTCGATGTGGTGAGTCTTATTAGGGCCTCGTTAATCAAGATCACGTTCAAAAGTGGATCGCTCGCCTTTTCGCACCGGGATTGAAGGATGAGGTCTGCGTGTTAAGAGAACAATGAGTAATTTTAAAGAAGTAATTTTATGAAAGTGTATGTAAATCATCTTTATGCCACTAGAACTCCCAGAGCAGTCAATTTGACGGCTTTTAGTCTACATACTGTACATATAAATATACACTGTATACTGCATGTCTGTAGTTCTACAGATTGCCCTTTTTAGGGTTCACTAAACTTTAAGATTCAAAAAAGGTTAATCTTGTTTTGCTGAGTTAAAAGATTTTGTTGTGGTTCTTTCAAAAGACCACAACAAAATCAGGGGATCAGTGGTGTCAAACGAGTCCATTCCAGCCAGTACAGCCTCCACCCATTTCCTCAAATTCGTCCAGTCTTAACCTGAAGACCTGACAAGATTAACCTGAAAACCTGAAGAAATGGGTGGAGTCTGGTGTGCTCCTGCTTGGTTGTAATCAGAATCAGAATTATTTGTATTGCCATTGTAAGTAACAGGAAGTCACAAACTAGGACATTTCTTTTGCTCAGGGTGCAAAAAGTTACAAATAAGGCATGCATAATTAAAAGTATACACTAAGTACGCACAATTGTTTAAGAGTGAAAGTGAAATCCTGTTGCCCAGAGGTGTTTAAACCGGTCCAGAAAGGACTGCTATGGCTGCAGGTTTTCTATCAGACCCAGCAGGTGCAGAGCAGACTCCACCCATTTCTTCAAATCAGGTTAAGACTGAACTCTCTTGAGGAAATGGGCGGAGTCTGCTCTGCTCCTGCTGGGTCTGGTAGAGAACCTGCAGCCACAGCGGCCCTTTCTGGACCGGTTTGGACACCTCTGCTGTAGCCATATAGCAGAGACCACCGAGCGACAGGGGGTGTGGTCAGACTGCGCAACCTGTCAGGTTAATCAGGCTGACTCATGAAGTAACATCAGCTGACCACGCCCACTCAGAAAGTAACATCAGCTGACCACGCCCACTCAGAAAGTAACATCGGCTGACCACGCCCACTCAGGAAGTAACATCGGCTGAACACGCGCACCAAGGAAGTAATATCAGCTGACCAAGCCCACTCAGGAAGTAAGATCAGCTGACCACGCCCACTCAGGAAGTAACATCGGCTGATCACGCCCACTCAGGAAGTAACATCGACTGACCACGCCCACTCAGGAAGTAACATCAGCTGACCACGCCCACTCAGGAAGTAACATCAGCTGACCACGCCCACTCAGAAAGTAACGTCAGCTGACCACGCCCACTCAGAAAGTAACGTCAGCTGACCACGCCCACTCAGGAAGTAACATGAGCTGATGAAATGATGGAATAAGCCAAAATATGTTAACAAGGTCATCAAACTTGTTCAACCATGTCTATTTTTAACCAAATATGAATCAGTAATTTGGACAAAATAACTTGTGTGTTCTTTGCCATCTTAAGTAGAAAATTGCTGGGTCGATGTGACTATAGTTAGACCAGTAAATTGAGAACTTTGCGTTTTGATGCTGATCCGCTTGTTAGTCTCTCTCCATCTTTCCCTCACCGTAAAAGGACGAGGTGCTGGTTTTGTAAAACACTTATAATTGTCTTGTGTAAATATTAAATCCATACCTGGTTTTCTGATCCAGCTTCATTGGCTTGATAACTGTATTGCTGATTTTCCCATAGGCCCATACCACAGAGACTACACCTCCTGTATTATAATATAGATGTTATGGAAGCTCGACAGGCAATTAAATTTAGACTCTGCTCACAGTCCTGGTTTCTGCATGCAGTGCTGGATCTGCCATAGACAATAATGTGATCATGCATATTCATTCCCCGCACATACCACCACATCTGCTCACTCCAAACTTGGCCCAAACTTGGAAACGTTCAATCACAAACTGTCTGCGGAAAGAAAAAAAAAAATAAGCGTGT